GGGCTGGTGTGGATGCGCGGGGCTTGAAGAGGTCGTTGCGGGCTCAGACGGCATGCAAAAACCCGCCGCCGCGCTTGTGCGGCATTGGTTTGTTCAGTGAACGTGGTTTGGGTCGCGGGTGGGTCGCGGGTTCTCCACCTCCACCAGGAAGGAATGCAAAAGCAGCCCGCCGCAGGCGCCGACAAAAATTTGTTTGTACACTGAACGTGGTTTGGGTCGCGGGTGGGCCGCGGGTTCTCCACCGGGAACGAATGCAAAAGATGCCCGCCGCAGGCGCCGAAAACAATTGCGTGTACCCTGAACGTGGTCGCGGGTGGGCCGCGGGCTCTCCACCTGAAACGAATGCAAAAGATGCCCGCCGCAGGCGCCGAAAAATGTGGTTTGTACCCTGAACGTGGTTTGGGTCGCGGGTTGGTCGCGAGTTGGTCACGGGGTGGGTCGCGGGCTCTCCACCTGGAAGGAATGCAAAAAAAGCTCGCCGCAGCCGCCGAAAATGGTGGTTTGTACCTTCAACGTGGTTTGGGTCGAAGGTGGGTCGCGGGTGGGTCGCGGGGTGGGTCGCGGGCGGGTCGCGGGTGGGTCGCGGGTGGGTCGCGGGTGGGTCGCGGGTGGGTCGCGGGGTGGGCCGCGGGGGGGTCGCGGGGTGGGTCGCGGGGTGGGTCGCGGGGTGGGTCGCGGGGTGGGTCGCGGGGTGGGTCGCGGGGTGGGTCGCGGGTGGGTCGCGGGTGGGTCGCGGGTGGGTCGCGGGGTGGGTCGCGGGGTGGGTCGCGGGGTGGGGCGCGGGGTGGGTCGCGTGGGTCGCGGATGGGTCGCGGATGGGTCGCGGGGTGGGTCGCGGGTCGGTTGAGGTGGACGACGACAACAAAACAAACAACAACCAACAACAAACAACAACAAACAACAACACAACAAACCACAACAACAACAACAACTAGCAACAGCACAACAAACAACAACAGCAGCAGCAACCATCAGCAACAGGCATCAACAGAGTCGAAAGTCCGTGCGGAATCAAACAACAAACACCAACACAACAACACAAAACAACAACAACAACAACAACAACAAAAAAAAAAAAAAAAAAAAAAACAACAACAACAACAACAACAACAACAACAACAACAACAACAAAAACAGCAACAACAACAATAACAACAACAACAACAACAACAACAACAACAACAACAACAACAACAACAACAACAATCATTTTACCCGAACGCTCAGTGTTCTCACCAGTGCCAGGGTTTTCATGCGACGCGAGACAATACCCCCACTTCGTGGGGGGGCAGGTCAAGCTCTACCAAATATCCAAACGACTCTTCGCGACCACCCAAACCCAGCTTCCCGCCCTATGACGTTGGGACACTTCACTTCGTGGCGTGCGGACGACCGTGGCTACTACACTGGCGTGGGGTACACACCCACAGAACTTGGTCACTTATTCGGGGCGCGCGTGTGCCCAGCATCCTGCAATTGTGACATACAATACATGACACAGACAGACAGAGAGAGAGACAGAGAGCAGACAGAGAGAGAGACAGAGAGAGCGGAGTTGGTCACATTTTTGGGGCAAGTTCCTGAGATCGTCGTGTTTTTTGTTGGTCTTGCGCGCGCGAATGTCCACTTTACTTTTTTTTGCAAGGGAGTATTGAAATTTGATTATGTTAGAACAAGAAAAAGTAGCTCGCGCGAGCTCATGTAACATAAATGTTGAAAAACCATTGGTTTTGTGGGAGTCGGACAGCGCGCGCGGGATGAAATTTGGACATTTTTTTTTGAAAAACCATTGGGTTTTTGATGTTTTTATGTTGAAATCGCTACGAAACCTAAGGTTCTGGAAGGATTTCGTCTTGCGCGCGCGAATGTCCACTTTACCTTATTTTTTGCAAGGGATTATTGAAATTTGATTATGTTAGAACAAGAAAAAGTAGCTCGCGCGAGCTCATGTAACATAAATGTTGAAAAACCATTGGTTTTGTGGGATTCGGACAGCGCGCGCGGAAGGACATTTTGACAATTTTTTCTTAAAAAACCATTGGGTTTTTGATGTTTTTATGTTAAAATCGTTACGAAACCTAAGGTTTTGGAAGGATTTCGTCTTGCGCGCACGAATGTCCACTTTACCTTATTTTTTGCAAGGGATTCTTGCAATTTGATCAAGTAAGAACAAGAATTTTCATTTTCTATTGTTTTTTGCAAGGGAAAACGAGCGTCAACAAAAAACCGGATCCGGAGCTCATCCACTTTTCTGAAGCTTTCGCGAAAAAATGATGAAAATGTAGCTGCGGCCTAGGCGCGGCGGGGGGTCGCGCACCAGGGGTCCCAACAATAATAATTCTTTAGAATTAATAATGTTCAACAACAACAACAACAAACAACAACAACAATTACTAGCACGTGGGGACACTCCGTTCTCACCAGTGCCAGGGTTTTCATACGACGCCCGCCAATACCCCCACTTTGTGGGGGGGCCGGTTCAAGCTCTACCACATTTCCAAACGACTCTTCGCCACCACCCACACCCAGCTTCCCGCCCTATGACGTTCGGACACTTCACTTCGTGGCCTGCGGACGACCGTGGCTACTACACTGGCGCATGGGTACAGTGACTTGTTGTGGTAACATTTTCTGGACGCTAGCTTAGTATACGACTTTTCCCCCTGTTCCAACACTGGACACCTGACTGGTTTTTTAGCGGACAGCGCGCGCGGGTAGAAATTTTGAAAATTCGTACAGATGTTTTTCGAGGACCTACGGTGCGATTCGTATGATTTTATGTTGCGCGGTGCTAAAATTCCTAAGAAACCCAATGGTTTTTGAAGATTTCGGCGTGCGCGCGCGAAGAAAAAACGAATGTGTCCCGCATGGTATTATTTGACAGGGATGATGGCCCTGGCAGGTGCGCAACCGTTGTTGCAGAAGTTCGAAAAAGTTGCTCGCAAAAGCCCGTTTGACAGAAATGTTTAAAAAGTGTTGGGTTTCCTACGAATCCGCAAGAGCGCGCGGGATGAAATTTTGACATTTTTTTTGAAAAACCATTGGTTTTTTGATGTTTTTATGTTAAAATCGCTACGAAAACTAAGGTTTTGGAAGGATTTCGTCTTGCGCGCGCGAATGTCCACTTTACCTTATTTTTTGCAAGGGATTCTTGAAGTTTGGTTATGTTAGAACAAGAAATGTCCACTTTGCTTATTTTTTGCAAGGGAAACCGCCGTAACAAAACAACCGGATCCGGACCAACCCGTTTTGCCTGAGACTTCCTCACGAAAATGATGAAAATGTAGGCTGCGGCCTAGGCGCGGCGGGGGGGCGTGCACCAGGGGCCCCAACAATAATTATTCTTTAGAAGTAATAATGTTCAACAACAACAACAACAAACAACAATTACTAGCACGTGGGGACACTCCGTTCTCACCAGTGCCAGGGTTTTCATAGGAGGCGGGCAATACCCCCACTTTGTGGGGGGGCCGGTTCAAGCTCTACCAAATTTCCAAACGACTCTTCGCCACCACCCACACCCAGCTTCCCGCCCTATGACGTTCGGACACTTCACTTCGTGGCATGCGGACGACCGTGGCTACTATTCAGGGCCCCGCGGCCGACGACGACGGCGTGCGCGCGCGAAGAAAAAACGAATGTGTCCCGCATGGTATTATTTGACAGGGATGATGGCCCTGGCAGGTGCGCAACCGTTGTTGCAGAAGTTCGAAAAAGTTGCTCGCAAAAGCCCGTTTGACAGAAATGTTTAAAAAGTGTTGGGTTTCCTACGAATCCGCAAGAGCGCGCGGGATGTAATTTTGACAATTTTTTTTGAAAAACCATTGGTTTTTTGATGTTTTTATGTTAAAAGCGCTACTAAAACTAAGGTTTTGGAAGGATTTCGTCTTGCGCGCGCGAATGTCCACTTTACCATATTTTTTGCAAGGGATTCTCGAAGTTTGGATATGTTAGAACAAGAAATGTCCACTTTAGCTTATTTTTTGCAAGGGAAAACCAATCGTAACAACACAACCGGATCTGGTACACATCGTTTTGCCTGAGGCTTCCTCACGAAAATGATGAAAACGTGGCTGCGGCCTAGGCGCGGCGAGGGGGGCGTGCACCAGGGGGCCCAACAATAATTATTCTTAAGAAGAAATAATGTTCAAAAACAACAACAACAACAACAACAACAACAACAACAACAACAACAACAACAACAACAACAACAACAACAACAACAACAACAACAACAACAACAAACAACAACGAGAATCCGCACCGCGGAATCCCACTTCAGCCACGCACCCAGGGACGGTGAATGACCGTTCGGCCCCCTCACTCTGCTGTATATATATAGATAGTCGCTACCAGTCCGCCGGGAGGGGCCCGCGAGGTCAGGGTGGCTGAGGCGGTCATCTCGTGAAATGAAAAACAGAGCAGCAAAGAGAGAGCGAGGACAGGGGGAAGGAGTGGACAAGACGAGAGGGGAAGGATAGGGGAAAGGAGGATAGGGGGAGAGCGAGGATAGGGGGAAGGAGGACAGGGGGAAGGAGTGGACAAGACGAGTGGAGGTCGGAGGGGGCAGATCTGTGCAGGGGCGGTGCAGGAAGCCTGAAGGCCAAAGGCCGCACGGCCGAGTCGAGCTGCGACGAACCAGCCAGTCGCCCTGATACCGTGCAAACGGCCAGGTCCAAGCAGCAGCGTTGGAGAGTCGTCCCCCGAGATCGGCCGATGATCAGTGCAGCGCACATCGGCTGCAGCTGCAGACCAACAAGGCAATCGGAGCAGAAGGGCAAGACGCACGCGTGGCAGACCTGCTGGGACTCCTGACCCGTCGGCACTTGTGCATCGCACTTGTGCGCGTGTCCTGGCACGTACGATGTGCGCGTGATCCATTCGACCAGCAGCACACTTGCACGTCTGTTCGCAGTCATTTCTCTCCATCGTCAAGCAAATGTAGGGGTCGTTTGGCACGAGGCCGTCCGAGATGCAATGATTCCTCGAGCGGGCCCCCCCTCGCACTGAACGGCGCGCGCAGCAGTTTGCTGAGCTGCTCTGCCTAGCCCTCGCGCGCCCCGTCGTGACGGTCCCGCCGGGACATCGCCCGCACGGGACCGCCGAGACGCTCTCGCCCACAGCACCCCCCCGCGCTCTCACGTGAACCTGGCACGGCGCTCAAAGGGCTTCCGGGCGCCGCCCTGGCCCGGGCTCCCAGCCTAGCGCCCCGCCAGCCGGCTCAGAGCTTGCTCTGGATGAGGTCGCCCACGTCCTGCAGGTTCTTCAGCTGAGTCGTCTCTTCGTCCGGGAGCTCGATGTCGAAGCTCTCCTCCAGGGCCATAACCGTCTCGACGATGTCCAGGGAGTCCGCGCCCAACTCCGACAAAGTCGCGGAGCCCACCACCTTCGCCTTGTCCACTCCGAGCTGCTCGGCGACCACGTCCGCGATCTTCTCCATGGTCTCAGGCGTGGCCGTCGCGCGGAGCAGCACCGGCGACAGCGGCCGCTGCGCGCGCAGTTGCGGGGCGCCCGCGCCCGCGAACGCGAGGCTCTGCAGGAGGGCGACGCACGCGACTGCGAGCAGGCCGACTGCGAGCAGGCTGGAGCGGGCCATGGCGAGGCTTGGTTGGCGAGGCCTTGCGGGCGGGCTGCTCAAAACCAAAGGGTATTGAGCCAAAAACGGCTGCGCGTGGCTCTTGCGCTCCTGACCGATGCAGTTCTGGGTCCCCGTGGGAATTGTGCAGGCACTGCGCAGCGGCAGTTGCATGCAAGGCCACAGCCTGTAGCCGATAGCCGCGGCCGTTGGCACATCTGCGCTTCCGAATCGAATGAACGGCCACAGAAGCGGCTAACCATGATGATTGTCCCAGAACTGCAGCGTCAGCCTCCACGAAAGCCCCACCAGCCCCTCTGGGTCCGGGCGGCGCGCGGCCCAGGGCAGCACTCCCACGATCCTCTCCCCGTCTCTCCTGTATCATGCCCCCTCCGATCCCAGTGGTACCGACTGGCTGGGCCACGGCCACCAATTCTGGGCTTCAAATGCTGGAGGCACCGATATAAAATAGCGCGATTCGGGCATACCTGGTTGGACCTCCAAGATGCCCCCAAGACAGGGATCTATTTCCGCCACGCTCCTCACCTTCCCATGTGCCCAGGAGACCCCGAGACAGCCCAAGAGGCCCCCAGAACACCTGCTACCCCTAAAAGGTCCCCAAGACAGCCCAGGAGGCCCCCAAGACGGCCCAAGATACCCCCAGAAGACCACAAGACGGCCCCAAGATGACCCGAAGAGCGCCCAAGACGGACCCAAGAGGGCCAAAGACGCTCCGAAAGCCTCCGCCATGACCCAATACTGTCAACCCCAAAATGGCTCCAAAAGAAGGTCCCAGGACCTGTCCAGCTGGCCCCAAGATGGTCCTACCGAGCCTCTTCGTGACAGCTCGGTCGATTATTGCGCTTGCCCCGCTTGCTTCGCGTTCACAAGCTCTTGCCAGTGCGCATGCACCTGCACTTGCACCGGCGCGTTTACTTACACTTGCGCGAGCCTGCGCATTTTGACTTGCACTTGTACTCGCACTTATACTTTTACATGTACTTGTGCATCGCACTTGTGCGCGTGTCCTGGCACGTACGATGTGCGCGTGATCCATTCGACCAGCAGCACACTTGCACGTCTGTTCGCAGTCATTTCTCTCCATCGTCAAGCAAATGTAGGGGTCGTTTGGCACGAGGCCGTCCGAGATGCAATGATTCCTCGAGCGGGCCCCCCCTCGCACTGAACGGCGCGCGCAGCAGTTTGCTGAGCTGCTCTGCCTAGCCCTCGCGCGCCCCGTCGTGACGGTCCCGCCGGGACATCGCCCGCACGGGACCGCCGAGACGCTCTCGCCCACAGCACCCCCCCGCGCTCTCACGTGAACCTGGCACGGCGCTCAAAGGGCTTCCGGGCGCCGCCCTGGCCCGGGCTCCCAGCCTAGCGCCCCGCCAGCCGGCTCAGAGCTTGCTCTGGATGAGGTCGCCCACGTCCTGCAGGTTCTTCAGCTGAGTCGTCTCTTCGTCCGGGAGCTCGATGTCGAAGCTCTCCTCCAGGGCCATAACCGTCTCGACGATGTCCAGGGAGTCCGCGCCCAACTCCGACAAAGTCGCGGAGCCCACCACCTTCGCCTTGTCCACTCCGAGCTGCTCGGCGACCACGTCCGCGATCTTCTCCATGGTCTCAGGCGTGGCCGTCGCGCGGAGCAGCACCGGCGACAGCGGCCGCTGCGCGCGCAGTTGCGGGGCGCCCGCGCCCGCGAACGCGAGGCTCTGCAGGAGGGCGACGCACGCGACTGCGAGCAGGCCGACTGCGAGCAGGCTGGAGCGGGCCATGGCGAGGCTTGGTTGGCGAGGCCTTGCGGGCGGGCTGCTCAAAACCAAAGGGTATTGAGCCAAAAACGGCTGCGCGTGGCTCTTGCGCTCCTGACCGATGCAGTTCTGGGTCCCCGTGGGAATTGTGCAGGCACTGCGCAGCGGCAGTTGCATGCAAGGCCACAGCCTATAGCCGATAGCCGCGGCCGTTGGCACATCTGCGCTTCCGAATCGAATGAACGGCCACGGAAGCGGCTCATCATGATGATTGTGCTAGATGTCAGTTTCCATGAAAACCCCACCAGCCCCGCTGGGTCTGGGCGGCACGAAGCCAAGGACAGCACTCCTATGACCATATTCCAGTCTCCCCAGTCTTCTGCCTCCTCAACGAGGTACCAACTCTTGGTGACACAGGCCGGGCCAGGGCCACTTCTTTCTGTTGCTTCCAACACGCCAGACGCGCCGATATAAAACAGCGCGTTGGGGCCATATCTGGGACTCCAAAATGCCCCCAAGGGATCAAATTTCGCCACGAGGCCCTAAAGACAGCCCAAGCGGGTCCCAAACCATCGAACATCTGACAACCACAAGAGGTACCCAAAACGGCCCAAGAGGGCTCCAAGAGGCACCCAAGACGGCCGAAGATACCCCTAGAAGACCACAAAGTGGCCTCAAGACGGCCCAAGAGCGCCCGAAAATTCACATCATGACCCAAGTCCGGCCGCCTGGAAATAGCCAAGACAGTCCCAAGACCCGTCCAGCCGGCCCTGAGTTTGTCCTACAGAGCGTCTCCGTAAGAGCTCGGTAGGTTGTGTTGTGTTGCACGTACCCCACTTGCTACACATGCCCTTGCTCCTGCCAGTGCATATGCACCTGCACTTGCACCTGCGCTTGTGCTCGCACTTGTGTGTACATGTACAGTTTCACTTGCACTTGCACTCGCCCTGACACGTCCATGCGCACTTGGTATTTCGCTGGTGTGTATGCCCTTGCACTTGTGCTTGTCAGAGTGAGTGGGCCGAACGGTCTCACACCATCCCTGGATGCATGCCTGAGGTGGACTTCCGCCAAGAGGATGTTTGTTGTGTTGTATGGCCGTGTTGTTGCGCTTTGACGACGAAATCGACGCCTGTGACGGCGGAGTGTAATGTGTAGACAATCGGCGCCTGCGGCGGGCTTCTTCAAATTTGCCCTATAGGCGCGAGAGACTGCCGACGACCCCCCGCGCTCTCGCTGTCATCCCACTTGCACTTACACTTGCACTTGTGTTCAGTTCCACCAGCTTTACACTTGCGCTTCTACTCGCAGCCACTTCTCGCCAACATGAAGCAAATGGCCAACAATAAGCAATTTAGGGGTCGTTTGGCACGAAGGCCGCCCGAGATGCAACAATCCTCTGGCGGGCCCGCCTCGCAGTGCATGGCGCGCGCAGCAATTTGCTGAGCCGCTCTGACAGGTCCTCGCGCGCCGTGGTGACGGCCCCACTGGGACATCGCCCGAATGGGACCGCCGAGACGCTCTCGCCCACAGCACCCCCCCCCTGCGCTCCCAAGTGAACCTGTCAAGGCTTTCAAATTGCTTTCAGGCGCCGCCCCGACCTGCAATCTCCTGTCCCGGCTAATTTCAGCCGCAGCCAGCCGGCTCAGAGCTTGCTCTGGATGAGGTCGCCCACGTCCTGCAGGTTCTTCAGCTGAGTCGTCTCTTCGTCCGGGAGCTCGATGTCGAAGCTCTCCTCCAGGGCCATAACCGTCTCGACAATGTCCAGGGAGTCCGCGCCCAACTCCGACAAAGTCGCGGAGCCCACCACCTTCGCCTTGTCCACTCCGAGCTGCTCGGCGACCACGTCCGCGATCTTCTCCATGGTCTCAGGCGTGGCCGTCGCGCGGAGCAGCACCGGCGACAGCGGCCGCTGCGCGCGCAATTGCGGGGCGCCCGCGCCCGCGAACGCGAGGCTCTGCAGGAGGGCGACGCACGCGACTGCGAGCAGGCCGACTGCGAGCAGGCTGGAGCGGGCCATGGCGAGGCTTGGTTGGCGAGGCCTTGCGGGCGGGCTGCTCAAAACCAAAGGGAATTGAGCCAAAAACGGCTGCGCGTGGCTCTTGCGCTCTTGTCCGATGCCGTTCTGGGTCCCCGAGGGAATTGCGCAGGCACTGCGCAGCGGCAGTTTCATGCAAGGCCACAGCCTATAGCCGATAGCCGCGGCCGTTGGCACATCTGGGCTTCCGAATCGAATGAACGGCCACGGAAGCGGCTAACCATGATGATTGTCCCAGAACTGCAGCGTCAGCCTCCACGAAAGCCCCACCAGCCCCTCTGGGTCCGGGCGGCGCGCGGCCCAGGGCAGCACTCCCACGATCCTCTCCACGTCTCTCCTGTATCCTGGATCACCCAAAGGCGGGGGTCCACGACCCCCCCACCCCCTCCTTTTCCCCGATCCGTCGTCGGCGGACCCCCCACCCCCCCTTCCCGCTCCATCGTCGGCGGACCCCCAATCCCCCCTTTTTCCCGATCCGTCGCCGGCGGACCCACCCCCCTACCCCTTTTCAAGGGGGGGGGTCCGGACCCTCCCACCACCCCTGCCCTCAGAGCGTGGAGTTCGGACCCCCCCCTCCTCCCCTGTCGCCACGCCGCCCAGTGGCTCCGGACCCCGATCCCTACCACACGTAACCCTCAACCTAATCCCGACCCTAACCCCTAACCCCTAACCCAATCCCGCACTCCTAACCCTAACCCCCACCCTACGCCGAACCTAAACCTCTACCCAAAGCCCCACCCTAAACCCCAATTCAAACCCTAGTCCCCACCCTCACCCCGACCCTAAGCCCTAACCTTAAACCTTAGACCCTACTCGAACCCTAACCCCTACGCTCATCTCTGATCCGAACCCTGACACCTGCCCCAACCCTAACCCTAACCCCACACGCCGAATCCTTACTTCTTATGATTAAACACCCCCAAACTTCCACCTAGCCAGCCGATAGCAACCCCGCCTTCCGAACTGTCAAAAAAAACAAATCAAACTCAATCTGTTGTCGCCAACATGTCGCCGAGTTGCGAAAAGCGCAGCAGGAATATGAAGGAATGAACATCGCTTGGGTAGCCCTAAGAAGGTGGTCGCGTCCTACCGATCAAAAACAATACACGATCAAAATTTTGATCGACAACATGGACTTTCTTGTCGTCGACGCTGCGAAAAGTGTAGCAGGAATGCGCACATCGCGCGCGGACGCCTCGCCAACCCTACGCGGGACCCCCGTCCTGCCTGGCAAAAAACACCGCCACTTCGACGTTTCTCTTGCCAACATGTACTTTCTCCTCGTCGGCGCTGCGAATCGCGTAGCGGGAATGGGACGCGGCGCGCATCGCGCGGGGACGCCTGCTCGTCAACATGGAGTTTCTTGTCGTCGACGCTGCGGCCCGTCGGGTTGAGGAGCTGGGCTGGCGGCAGGTCGTAATGCTTCAAGCAAGTGCGGTTCGCCGCCGGCGCGCCCGCTGGCGTGTCCACGCAAGAGAGACCTCTCTCCCTCCTCGTCCTCCTCCTCCTCGTCCTCCCCCTCCTGCATGCGCGGCAGGCGCGAAACGATTGGCGGTGCAACGCGCGCGGCTGGAATGAGACGCGGCGCATTTCGCGCGCTGGACATGTTGTCGCCGACGATGCAACATGAGAGGCCGGAGCGGGGCGCGGCGTACATCGCGCGCGTCTTTGTTTCTCGTCGACGTTCCGCAATACGCGGCAGGAATAAGACGCAGCTCATGTCGCGCGCTGAACGTCTAGCCGCCCACGATATAAGATGAGCGACAGGCGTCGGACGCGACGAACTTGCTTCTTATGTTGTGGGCGCGCGGCCCCAGCGCTGAAAACCATGAGATCAGTGATATGAGCTCCGCCACCGTGAATCGGGGAAGGACCAGTCGGCCCAATTCCCCCGAGATCCGGCAGCCAAGGACTTCCAGCTCGTGGACTCAATGGTGCTCTTTCCCCGCCTGCCGGAGGACCCCCCAGGCGCCCCATATCTCACGCGCGGCCGCCGTCTCGGAGGGGCGGCCCTTCAGTTTCGCCAACATCGCCAGGTCGAACAGTTCTCCTTGGCTGAAGCCGTCGAGATAGACCGTGTTAGAGCGCCCGTCCGCGCCCGTAGATCCAGGCGCACGGGAGCGTCGCGCCGCGCCTCCCTACTCAGATCCAACCCCGCCCCTATAGGAGGGGGGAGAAAAACCCAGATTTCGGTGAATGAGCTGAAGTCTGCCGCACGCTGACTGCCAGCCCATCGCCGTCACAGCCATGGCTGGGTAGACCACCTCTTCGGCTGCCACATCGGGGCGAAACTCAGCAGCAACGAGCCCAGGCACAGGGCGCCCAATATCTTGGTACTTCAACCACTCTGGTTCCATCCGGAAGTTAAAGAATTCTGAAGTCATATCGCTCTCCGACCATATCAACGCCTGCTCTTCCTCCAACTGGATGCCCCCCCACTGCATGTAGTAGGGCAGGCACCAGATGTCCGCCTCCAAGACCTTCTGATAGCTGGTCGTCGGGATGGCGTTGAGTATGAGCCGCAAGACCACCTTTTCGGTGCCTAGTGCTGTTTTGTTTCTCTTGGGGACGCCGAGCATGCCGTTAAACGCAGGCACCCCCTTCACATGGAAGACGTCACGCGCTGAGATGAATGAAGAAATCCCTCTCTGAGCCGCTCCGCGGCAGATTCGATGCCACTCTGCGTCGCTATCGACCCATACCTTCGCAGTGGGGACTTCTGGGGGCCACTCCCCCTCGGGCAACAAGCACAACCGAGGATTCTCAAGATACTGTTTCAGAAATCCGTCAACAAGTCCACTCACCCGCACTCGCGCCGATTGGCCTGGCGGGGGCAGGGCGGGCTCGATCTGCTCCCAAGTGATCGGCTCTGGGACCTTCACCTCCTCCCCCTGGTAATCCAGCCAAGCGTGCCGCAAGGCCTCCTTCCAGTCAATCGCGGGGATGTCCTGGCCATTGATGAAGTCCCAAGCGTATGTCCTCAAATGCTCTAGAGCTGCTTCCTGGGATGCTGATCCTGGCCCCTTGAGGTTGCTGCCCGTAGTCATGGGGCTCCTGGTCGAAGTAGCCCCTGGGCAGTGGGAGCGAGCCTGGTTGTCCGCTCCGCGCCTCCTCCAGCCTCGCCCTCGATCCAGATGGT